AACTCCTTCTTCCTCATAGGACTGCTTACAACTAAATCCTATGATCAAGAGTGTCATCCAGATGTTCCTTGAACTCCCAAAACTTCAAGTGACTTGCCAGAATTAGTAATTTTATCCAGAATTACACTCTTGGTGCAGCAGAGTGTAATCCTTTTCAACATTTCAAGCTATGTCAGCAGTTTCAAATGTTATAGATTAAAACAAAATTTTATTAAAATGCTGAGAAGTGAACAAAAAAGATTTACACCTACATTTAAGGAGCCCTGGCTCTTGGACACCATCATGGGTTCAAATCTACAGGAGTAAAATACACTCCCTTTTTTTTTATTAATGAGACAGAAAATTCACAATTATCAACAGTCAGAGGATTTTCTTTCTTGGAAAGCGTTGGGACATCAATGATTTCAAACACTGAACAAATTCAGCAATAAGCCACTCAGCTACTTAGCATTTTTCTCACCTCAACAGTAATTTTTGTTATTTCCACATTCTGCTTTGAAAGCAGAATGAGAAAAATGGCAGGAAAACGTATTTTAAACTAAATTAAATTTGTTTAAACTAAAATTAAATTTAATTGTCTTCATCCAAAATTCTGGAAATTTCAGTTCTTAGATTCTAACAGAATGAACAGAAAGGTTTGTAAAAGAAAGTTGTGTCTTGTTAAATTCAGCAATAAGCCACTCAGCTACTTAGCATTTTTCTCACCTCAACAGTAATTTTTGTTATTTCCACATTCTGCTTTGAAAGGAGAATGAGAAAAATGGCAGGAAAATGTATTTTAAACTAAATTAAATTTGTTTAAACTAAAATTAAATTGTCTTGATCCAAAATCCTGGAAATTTCAGTTCTTAGATTCTAAAAGAATGAACAGAAAGCTTTGTAAAAGAAAGTTGTGTCTTGTCTTTCAAATATCTATACAAATAATCAGTTAAATTTTACATTACAAAGCAAAATTCCAAGAACTTATAGTTCTGCAAGTTCAAATATAAAATATACAGCAGAAAATAAGAGAGTAAACCTAAACCTAGAGCTAAACAAAATCTCATCTCAATAAAGAAATCTATCCATTCTCCCCAACTATCAATGCAGAATTCTTAGCTTTTAAATTTCTAGCCGTAGCATATCTATTCAGCCCAGGAGACTAACATGCAGCCCAGGAGACTAACAATGATCATCTTACCCAAGGTCTTTAAAAACTTTGGGAATCTCCTCTTCAAATTTTGAGTCAGGCAGTTCATAAGAAGGACAGAGGAATTTATAGATAAAGGTGAAGATCTTTAAAAAGTCCTTAACTGATGGAGACTGTAGTGATTTCATGGAAACATTGTGGGCATAAGCATTCTCAGCAAGGAACTGTGCAAACGAAACACAGAATACCAGTCACTAAATTAAATTTATAGTTGAAACCAAGGGAAAGAACCATTTTGATTAGCACATTTTACACCTCATAATATACAAGCAGAATAAGTTAATATGTTACCTCACAAAGCTTCTTGATACATTGCTGGATGAATGCCTTGTCATGAAGGGGCCTGGGATCCTTTATCTTTTCTGTCCCAAACACACCATACTGGCTGCTGCGTGACCCTCCAGCCCCACTTGCTCTAAGGACAGACAATAAATACAGGTCTTGTGACAATACCTATAAAGAAGAACTCTCTTCATGTTTAAGTCACAACAACTGCTATGTATATGTTTTCTTTGCATTTGTGATACAAAGTGATACTTGAAGTTCTCTTCATTTAAGGTCACTGGAAAAACATCATCAGCTTGGAAGTCATGATGCCACACGTACAATGAACGGATTACTGCATCCTAGATGAATGCTTTCTTCATTTTATGGAAAGAAATAAACTTTTAGAGAGCAGGAAAGTACCCCAAAGATGAAGAAAGAATCATGTTGGCGACTGTAAATAAACTCTGTAATATTTAAGGAATATTTAAAAGGAATAGACCCCTACAACAATGGGGTACTATCAAAGAAGATAGCTCATGACCTTCTGTGTTGTGGGTAAGCAGAAAGATTATAGAGTTTTGGAAGGTTTGTATCTTAGAGAGAGGAAACTAACACAGAGTATACTTCAAATGTCATTCTTCCTTAAACAAGAAAAAATATATTGAGATACTCTTAAGGTCTGCAGTGCACATCATTCCCAAAATAAAAAATAAAAAATAAAAAAAACAGCTCCCAAAGCAATTCCTGCTCCACAGCATTGTTTAGTGACCAAGGACTGAAAGAAGGCAGACCTGGTCTGCTTGCCTCAGATCCATTATTCCCTGTAATGAAAATCTATCAAGAAAGAAAAATGCCAAAATTACCTGCAGACCTTTTTTGTTTTAACAAAACAAGTGCAGTGAACACTTACAGTGCAGAGAACAAAAGCTATCCATACCTGTTCCCAAAACAGCTGACTTTTCTTTCTGAAGCTCCAGATGTAGGTTTGCTCATGCTCAGCTTCCCAAAGGTGCTTCTGTCCTTCCTGAGGAACAGAGAAAAGGATACAAGTTCCTTTGGACTAGTTCCACCAATTCATCTTTTGCTCGTACAAGAGCTATACACCCTCTCATATATTCCTAAGCACCTCCATCCCAGCAACCTCTTAGAAAGGTCAACTGATGCACCCAGTGACCTCCTGAGAAACATGCAAGTGTTACCACTTGAAACCTGACACAGGTACACAAAAAGGTTCAAGCAAGTAGTTTTGCAAAACTGGAGCATGTGTTCAAACATCCTAGGCTGTAAGGAGCATTCTTCTCACTGTTTCAATTTTTTTCCCTCAGTTGCTACTCACACTCAAACATACTGTGATAATTCTCTTCAGAATTAGGTTTATATACTTATTTTTAGCAACATGACCAGCAAGACTTACATCTGAGGTGTCTGAAGACCCATCTTGTTGTTATCCTGCACTCTCAGTGCCATCATAGATTGTCGACTGCTGTTTCCAGCAATACTTGAGCTTCGCCTCATTGTGACTGCTGTAATCCACAATCCCTCAGTATTCCAGCAGTATCAGAAAATCCAGGACCTAAGGGTATTTTCTTTTCTAAATGCTACAACGATTTTCCAAAGGCTTGGAATAAACAAGTAGACCTGTACATCAGAGCAAAAAAAAAAATGAAGAAAGAAAAAAGATTTTGTTAGACTCCAGAAATATATAAGAGCAGCCACAGCGTTTTAAATCAAACATTTTATTGATAAAAGTGTCAGTGCTTGTTCCAAACCTACTGTTTTGACTTTCTTTATGTTTGGTCACTTCGAACCTACAGGTTCCAAAAGCAAAAGAGCTTGAGAAATTTTTCATTTCAGTCCACTGTAGAAAAAGGCCACATTACCACGAGTACACAAGTAGTGCTTACTGCACTTCAGCCATACATCAGCTCCTGAACCGCTCATTCTGAGCCCACCCATTCCTCTGCAAGTGATCTCCCAGTATTAAAGCACAATAACTGGAAAACCTGTTCTGAGGTAATATTATGGGTCTCTTCAGACTGGGCATGCAGATAATAAATCAAACTGGAATATTAATACCATTGTCCCCACTGTGGCATTAAGGGGGAATTTGAAGTAAACAGAACTCATGAAACATGAAGTCACAAAAAAAAATTATTCCAGCTTCTGCCCTCTACAGAGGTTCTACTTTATTTGTGGGATGGGATTAAATGACTGAATTATAACTAATAAAAAAACCCTCTATTACAAACATTACCAAAACATTTATTAATATAAACTGCTGCTTCATTTTGTTTCCAGTTCCACTGCTCACAAACCACAACAGAAGTTTAGCTCAAGCTCAATTCATAGGGCAGCATTTCTCACTGTATCTGGGGAAGAATCTGCATTATTCCATTACTTTAACTGGGACCAACCACAGAGAGGATGAATTTTCACAATCATAGCAAGCAACTAGCTTCTACAATAGCAGTTAGTTAGGTTGGAAAAGACCTGCAAGATCATGAAGTCCAACTTATGACCAAACACCACCTTGTAAGCGAGACCATGGCACTAAGTGCTACATCCAGCCTTTCCTTAAACACCTCCAGGGACACCGACTCCACAACCATGCCGGGCAGGTGTGGTGGTTTTTTGAGCAAGCTTAACACACTCATTCACAACAGCAGTCCATTCCAGTGCATAATCGCCTTTTCTGTGGAGGAATTCCCCCAGGTGTCCCAGCCAAGCCTGGTGCAGTTTGAGACCGTGTCCTCTCGCTTGTTGCTGGGAGAAGAGGCCGACCCCCACCCGGCTACAGCCTCCTTTCAGGCGTTTCCATGATAAGGCTCCCCAGAGCCTCCTCTTCTCCAGGCTGAACACCCCCAGCTCCCTCAGTCACTCCTCAGGGAACTTGTGCTCCAGACCCTTGCCCAGCTCCGCTGCCCTTCTCTGGACACGCTCCAGCCCCTCAATGAATTGCGGGGCCCAGAACCGGCCACAGCACGGGAGGTGCGGCCTCACCACTGCCGGGTACAGGACCCTTGCCCAGCTCCGCTGCCCTTCTCTGGACACGCTCCAGCCCCTCAATGAACTGCGGGGCCCAGAACCGGCCTCACCACTGCCGGGTATAGGGTCTGTCACTGCCCTGGTCCTGCTGGCCACGCTGCTGCCGACATCAGCCGAGACGCTGTAAGAGCAGAGATTTAAGAGCAGTTTGCCACAGCCAACACGCCAGCAGGAAAAAAACAGGAAAGCGTAGGAGCGCGGCAGAGCTGGGCGCAGCTCCGCCCGCCCGCCCGGAGAGCGCGTCTGAGCCGTACCGAAGGCGACCGGGGGGCTCAGCAGCGAGTCCGCAGCCCGGGACTCACCGCCGCCACACGGACACTTGTCCCAGAACGAGGGTGAGTGAGGGGTGAGGGTGTCGGTGTCGGTGTCGCTGCCGCTCCCCGCCCTGCCGTTACCGCCGCCGCAATTTCAAATCCGCCCGCCCGGACGTCGCCCAGAGCGTCACACGGAACTGCGTCACGGCCGGGCCGCGGGCCAGCAGCGCGGCGGGCGGGACGAGCGGCGCTGGAAGCACGGGGAGGAGGAGCTCTGGAAATAGAGGGCAGGAGGGTCCCACCCCCCGGAAGGGCCATGGCCGTACGGCGACCTGGTCGCGCCCACGGTGAGTGTGTATCGGGCCGTGGCGAGCCTCACGCTTTTCTCCAGCGCCGAGAGTTTTCCTAGGGAAAAGCCCGAGCTCTCGGTCCCTGTGTGCTCGCGGGGATGGGAGTTGGGGTTCGGCTTCAGCAGCGCTGGGGCCGCGGCTGCCAGTGCCCTTGTGCCTGTATTACTGCGCCCGGGTGGTGTCATAGTGATTCATGTCCCTATATGTATATATATATATATACAGATAAATATGTAGATATACGTGTATGTAGATACAGTGTATGCACATATATATATAGTGTGTGTATATATGCATGTCTGTGTGTGTTTATGTGTGAATATATATAGCATATGTGCATATAGTGTGTGCATATATATAGTGTCTATGTAGTCTATATAGCATGTGTGTAACATAGGTGGTAAAGATATGTAGTGTAAATGAATGTATATGTGGTGTATGTACTGTGTATAGATATACACGTCATATAGTGTTAAGCATAATTGGTGTGTCAGAGGGCTGTTTTCTGACTTGTTAAAAAGAGTAAGCGCATACCGTATAAAAGTGTAAAAAGTCCTATAAAATTTAGTTGCTATAAAAAAAAAGTAGTGGTGTAGGGATGAACATAATAGGGAAATCAGCTGAAGTCAGAAATTGTAACAGAAAGTGTGCCCTGTGTGTGCATGGAAATGCCTGTGAGAAGATCGGTGCTAATTCTGTAAAGTGAATTCTTATAAAAATTCCCACAGGAGGAAGTTGCTCCAGGAAGGGCAAATGGTTGGTGAAGGCTGTGGTTTCAGGGAGCTGATTTTTCAGCCTGAAAAGGGGACGAACAATGTCTGTGGTACATCGTCTGACAGCGGGATGGCTTGTGGATCATCTCTCTTTCATCAACCAGTGTGGCTATGAGATCTGTGACTCCTCTGCACACCCTGGTGGTGTCACTCACAATACTTCTGTCACATCTACTGAAGACTGTCACAGTATTTCTACTTTTGCGGCCACCCCCTCATCAAGGGACAGTCCTGGAAATGCCCTAGAAACAGAAGGTAAAAGAGCAAAAAAGAGATATGTGTTTCGGGAGGAGTTCTTTGATATCTCTAAGCCCCATATAGCTGCAGCTCCTGAGGAGCAGCTGTGTCAGGGATGCTCTGAGGTGAGTCTGACAGACACAAAGGCCAACAGCTACAAAGAGGAATACCAAGAAGGAGCAAAGAGTGACACTGGAGATTCTCTTGCCACTGCTAGGAAGGTATGTTATCTGTAACACAGTAAATTACAGTAATCCATTGATAAATAATATACTACTAATATTGTTTTGCATACCTAAGTCTTTTTAGGTAGTGTAGAAGAGTGGAACTTCTGAGAATATTCCTGTGTCCCTCATGTCAGTAATGTACATTCTGTGTCTCATAAGCAGTGGATTGCTCCTGAAATCTCCTGACACTGGTTGTGGTCAGGTGCACAGTCTGAAGCTGTGGTAGCTGTTGAGATTGTGCAGATTAGCAAGTTGGAAAGGACAGTATGAATTTACTTTCAGTGTTGTTCAGTACTGTTCCATATGGACAAAAGAAAATAAGAGTCACTGGTCTAAACCAATAAATGTAATAATTTTTTTTTCTTTTATTGATAAATTGTACTTGGCATCTGAAACTTTTAGTATGGGCCCAAAAGAGGCATGAGCACAAACTGTGCACTAGGTGCCTTCAGATCCTAGTGCCATGAATAATTTAAAACAGCTTTAAGCCTAAGTACCATGTGAAAGCCTACAGCAGGTTCGGTATTTTCAGATCTTTTTGCTTATTTGACTTGCACTTGTGATAGAAAAAGAGATGGAAATTTTCTTCTGCTTTGAAAGGGTTTATTTGTAATTCAAGTGTGTTTGATTTCTTTTCACCTTTTATTTCATTGTGGAATGATACAGATTTTGTTGTTGGTGGTTTTTGCTAATTCTGCAGAAACGTAAAAGGAAATGTGTATTCAACCAAGGTGAACTGGATGCTTTGGAATACCATTCAAAGGTAAGGTGGAAAAAAAGTGTATTTTGCAAGTACCTGCTACTTAAATTTGGGTGTGTGCAGAGTGGAGGGCATGGTTGCAGACAAATTCTGGTTTTGTAGCTTGTTCCACTGGTGAAAAGTAGGAAAGGGAAAGTCAATCTATCCAAATCTTATTTGAATTTGTGCTTACAGCATATATCTTCTGTTACCATCTTGTTGCAAAGGTTTCATACCTTCTTGGTGATTTTTCATGGGCAGCTCCTCACAGCACTGACTCCTTCTTCTTGCCCTCCTCTGCACAACCAACAAACTCCATCTTACATCTCAACCAGCCAACCTACTCTCTTACAATACCCTTCCTAACTGGATCCAGCTGTGGCCTATTAAGGACAGGCTTGTTCTTAATGCTTGATAATTAGCACAGCTGTAACTCCTTAGGGGCCAGATTACCTTCACCACTGTCTCTATTCTCCTACATTCTACCTATCCCCAATTCCCTCTTTTCTTTTAATTACAAAGTTACAGTAACTCTAGAAAGTTATGTTCAAGTAAATTGACATTATAACATATTCACATATGTTACTTAGGACTAACAGTTCTATGAAAATTCCGGCACCGTATCACAGTAAGAACATATGTTTCTAAGGTCTGATTTTGTTTTGCTTTTCAGAATCTAGAACATCAACTTAAGGCTCATCACCAAAAACCCTAGTACTTAGACTTCTATGTCACAGTGAAAGTGTATGTCTCTAAATTCTAATTCAGTTTTGCTTTTTCACAGTATAGACCTGATTCATTCTCTAAATTCAGAGTACTTATCATCAAAATCTTTAGATCTATGCCTAATTGCCTAATCAAAGATTAACTCACGAGAATGAGTTAAACTAATGCTGTGTTTACTATCTTTTGCCCTTTGCAGAAGATAGTAAACCCAGTATAATCATCTTTTGTGTCATTTCTATTTAAGTTTGGAATGCATTTGTGCCAACTTTGATTTGTTACCCAAACTTAAAAAATGCACATGTCATTAGCAGACAAATACACCATAATAAATAATAGAGTTACTCTTTCCCCAGACCCCACTGCTGCTTTAATAATTCTCTTCCTTCCTTCTAGATTTTGTTGTATTAGTTGATCACTGCAAGCCTCTCTTGTCTTGCTGTGTTTTCCATTCTTCTAAAGTCTTATAAAGTGATTTCCAGGTGGCAGCCAAACCTGCAGCTGCCTTGCCCCCTTTTTGACTCTAAATTTCAGTTTTTTTTAACTTCTTTCCATATATGTAAATCTATATGTTCTGCACTCCATATGTTATTTCTCATTGTGTCCCCAGCAGTTCACCTGTACCTCAGGTGTCAAAATCTGTCAGGTCCTACCCAGGCAGCTTCTCCTGCTGCTCTCAATGCTGCACGGGGCTCCATCTCTGGCTGCACCTCACCCTACAGCCCACTCCCAATCACACCAGGTTACTGTGGAGATGGCCACTATACAATTTTAGAGGGCTGCTCTTACATGTTGTCTGTGCAGCTCTGACTCTGCCTCTCAGAGCTCCATGGTGCTTCTGTTCCAGTGCTCGTGTAGCAGTGACTTAGCAAACCCCTCCCCGTACTCCTCAGGGGTCATGCCATTGCTGAGGCACCCCCTGCTGCTGTGGCCATGCCATTTGCCACCTCTGTCACACAGCTTGTGTCCTGCTGCACACACAGCCATTCAGGGAGAGCCCAGCACCATCCTGGGTCCTTGACCAGGTCAGAATCACCAATTGTTGCCATCTTGTTGCAAAGGTTTCACACCTTCTTAGAGATTTCTCATGGGCAGCTCCTCACAGCACTGACTCCTTCTCCTCTGCACAACCAACAAACTCCATCTTGAGCAGCCAACCTGCTCTTTTACAATACCCCTCCTGATTGGATCCAGCTGTGGCCTATTAAGGACAGGCTTGTTCTTAATGCTTGATAATTAGCACAGCTGTAACTCCTTAGGGGCCAGATTACCTTCACCACTATCTCTATTCTCCTACATTCTATCTATCCGCATCTTCTATGTAGATACATGTGAAATTGCATCTGAGACATTGCGAAGAGCTGGAAGCTGCATTCACAAAGTAACTTGGACTGTTTAGACAACTGGACATTGTGTTGTGATGAGTTGACTATTAGGAATTGGCTGATTTGAAATTGGCAGTGTAACCTATAAGATCAGTTCCTCAGTGTTTCAGGACACTGTGATGGAGTTACTCAATTCTTTTGTGACCAAATGTGCTTCATAATATCTTATTCTGAAATTGAAAAAAAATTAATTTTTCTCTAACATTTCATATTGTCCTACTAAAACATTATGAATTAATTGGAATTCAATTCTGTATGCTTATGTCAGTTGTTTCTGTATGCTTATGTCAGTTATCTTCACCAGTTTACTGGTGAAGATACAACTGAATTACATTGAAGCGTAGTAGTAAATGGTAGAAATGCTATCTGTAGGTAATGTTTGATGTATTCTTACTGCTTTCCCAAGTAGTGATGTGAACCTGAATAGGAGCTACACTTGCTTCCTTTCCTTAGACAAAGGTTTAGTCATATTGGGCTTTTTGCTTAAATCTGTTCTGCTTGAACTACATTTAGATGACTATGTTTTTTTTCTTTTATATGGTAACGTCTTGTAGTAAACACGTGCAGCTTGCTGATACAGTGTAGAGGTCCTGTGGTTATTTTTGTGAATAAGGTGTGTAGAATCACCTTAAAGGAGAAAACTTTGAAGTTCAGCATCAACATGACTATGAAAATGCTAAGGCTAGAATAAAATCATTCAACAATAGAAATAAAGAAAGAAATGAAGATAAGAAGTTCGGTGCCTTGGAGGCCTGTATAACTTTGGTGATATTTGGTGAATATGTGGAAAAGACAGAGTTTGAAAAAATCTGTGACTCCAGTTAGCGTTTTAAATCATTCACAGATTAGAAAGTATTGGGTTTTTATTATATTTGTGTTATTAAAGGTTATAGCTCTGCAAGTTAACCCAGATTATTTTGGTACTTATTTACATATGTACATTCATAAAAATAAACCCCAACAACTGCAATTTCTTTTGTTTTTGCAAGCGAATCTATGAATTTCAGCTGTTGAATTCATTTGTGAATTTCAGTCAGTGTCAACATAGGGAACAGTACAAAATATGCTAAATTCCTTCAGCAGTGATTTGTTAAAACTCCTGCTTTGATTGCTGCATAGTCAAGAGACTTTGTCCACTTTTACTACCTGTGAGTTAACACATGCATGTAAGAAGGTATAATTTCTGAAGATATGTTTATTAATTGTGTTGAAGCAGTATGAACTTTTCTTACCACAAACCTAGGTACTAAATATGAATGACTCTACTCTCTGGTATCTAGAGGTGGCATGATTAAATTATAAAAAACAAAAATTTTTTATTCTCCTTCTAATAATCTGGGAATTGTAATAAAGTGCATTTTGTAAAACCCTCTTGTAATCTTGAAGATTCTATAGTCAGAAGCTTTTGAAACCGTGGTATAATGGCTTTTTACAGGGGCTTTAATAAAGCCCCAGTAATTGACAATGGACAAATGGATAAACCCACCTCACTGACAATCAAAACTCCTAAAGGCTCCATGATTTGGAAATAAAATGGGTCTCTGAATTTTGTGAAGGGGAGGTGCTGACTCCCCAGCAGGTGAATGACGGTGTATATACATCCAAGAATAGTGTCATCCCAGACTAACAGGCTATTTGAGACGTTTGCCACTTAGAAAAGTGACAAAAATGAAATTCTGATACTTTAATTTGATTTGCTGATTGTACTTCTCTATGACTGTAAAATGCATAAACTGTTGTTTTATGAAGTTAATTGAAATGACTGGAAAATGACTGATTTTTATATCCCAGTATACATTTCAATTAAAAAGATGTTCATGGGCACAGTAACTTGAAATTAAATTAGAATTTTAAATTAAACTTCAGATAATTGCTTTGAAATTTGTGTTTGGTTGAAACAATGATATTCCATGTCTGTTGTCTGAAATGTTTTATTCAGTAGTTTCTTGCTCTTTCTTTCTCCAGCCTTCTAGTTATTCTAACTTTTAACAAAAAATGAAAACCAACAACAGAAGTTAGTCCTGGTTTGGGCTGGGATAGACTTAGTTTTTCTGCCTGGTAACTGCACAGCTAATGCAGAGCAGGAGCGCTGCAAATGAAAAATAAACCTAAGACTTTTAAAAAGCCCCAGAGTTAGCATATTGGATGCTAAAGGTAGATGTGTTGCCCAGACGTCTGCACCCGGCTGCAGCTTTGTCCCTTCCAGCCTGGTCAGGATAGATCAGAAAACATCAAAGATTCTCATTTTGGGTTTAGCAGGAGGATAATGTTGACAGCAACAATTCAAACATCACTGTGCTAAGCCGTGCTTACCCTAAGTCAAGGAGTTTTCAGTTTCCTGTGCTCTGCCAGTGAGCAGGTGCACAAAGGAAGCTGGGAGGGAGCACGGCCAGGACAGGGACCCAAACTGACCAGAGGGATATTCCATTCATAGGATATCATGCTCACTGTATAAACAATGGGAGTTGGCCAGGAGCCATGGATTTGCTACTAAGGGATGGGCTGGACTTCAGTCAGTAGGTGGTGAGCAATATTATTGTGCGTCAGTTGTTTGTCTTGGGCTGTACTTCTCTCTCTCTCCCACTTTTCAATAATAAAAATAATGATAATAATTTTTTAGTTTCCGTTTTTAAACTGATCTTATAGTAGCCCATGAGGTTTGCTTTTTTCCCTTGGATTCTTCTCTCCACCAGGGATTGGGAGGCATGCGGTGTGAGCGAATGGCTGTGTGGTATTTGGTTGCCAGCTGGGGTTAGACCAAGACACACACCTTATTATAATGAATGCCTTTGTAGCTTTTGAGCCAATGATCTCAGTAACTGGCAAGGATCCTTTTCCCTGCCTGCAGATTGAAAATGTTTTGATTTCAGTTGCATTCCCTGGTCAAGTAAATACTTGAAAGATTTTTTTTTTTTAAATTTTTTTTTTTTTTTTGTCACCATACAGGTCAGGAAGCTCATTTGGGAAGGGACTTTGCATTTAGTCCAAGAGGGACTCAAAAGTGGTTTTCTTCACCGTACGACTGCAAAACTCAGTTGCAGGAAGAATAATGTTCCTCAGCACATTGTCTGTGGCTTGGCTGAATTATGTGAAATGGCAAAGCAGTTTCCAGCTGTGAATGAAAGTGACCATCAAGCTGTATGTGTGCTAGAGGAGGAAACCTCCACTGCAGAGCAGGACCTGCTTTCATGCGTTATGGAAAACAGCTCAAACTCTGCAAAGATAATTGTGTTAATGGGGCAGAAATACTTGGTGCCACCAAAAAGCAGTTTCCTCTTGTCTGATATTTCATGTTTACAGCCCCTGCTGAACTGTAAGTATCTTTAGGTGTTAGAATTTTTCCCTTTTCTCCTGCCCAAGAAGGGCACTTAGTGTCAAGATGGCTCAATTAACAGATTTTAGCATAAAGCATCTCACTGATAGTAAATGCTGCTGCAGGCTTTCACGGTGATATTTCTAACTTCGTGCAAATAGTTAAGGACTTTCAAAGGAATCTTAAGTGGTTAGAAATCATGTCATGAGGGGGTTATTTATCTCCAGGAGGCTCCTTTAAAGGTCTCAGCCAAAATACAGCAGTTTGTGAGCATATTCTGAGCCTCTGTCAGCACAGAAGTCATGTAAACACGTTGAATTGGGCTAGCTGTGCTGCTGGGTCCCCGTCCCACAGGATGAGCCACAGCAGTTTGTGAGCATATTCTGAGCCTCTGTCAGCACAGAAGTCACATAAACACGTTGAATTGGGACTAGCTGTGCAGCTGGGTCCCTGTCCCACAGGATGAGCATTTAACATAGGTAGGTCCATGCTGCTGCTGACGTGGTGGTCCTGCTGTCTTGGTTTTTAGCTAGGTTAGACCATGTGGGAGGGATGAGATAATGCACCATAAAGCAAATGTTCACTTACAGACTCATCCTGTTCAGTGGCAGGGTCTTTTTAGACTGGAATAAACTGGTCGTGGAACAAAGCCCAGTATCCCCCAGGGAAGATAACAGTTTGAGAGGCTATTGCACCCAGGTGGAGGGCAACCCAGGACTTAGTAAGACCACCAGTAGCAAACATGACTTGACTTTTCAGCTGCTGTGTTTCACAGCTGAGAGCATTGGCTTATGCAAAAATCAGTGACAGGGAAATGAGGGGATTTTAGAATAATCAAGTTCTCTGTAAAAGTAGATCAAAAGCTATCCAAGCCACTATCCCCAGCCCTAAGCTGACAGCATGCATCAGTCTTCAGTGCCATTCCATTAGCTCTCAAATTGGCCTTCATTACTATTATTTTTATCACTATCACTCACAGCTAGGCTTTTTTAGACAGTCTTACAGGAAAGATGTTGCCTGTGAGCAAGAGCTGGGCATTACTGCTCTACCCTCTAATCAGTAATTTTAGATTTTTTTAATTACACACAAGAAGAGAGGAAGCATATGTAATTTAGACATTATGTTTTTTAAATTTTGTTTTTTTTGTTGAGAATATCTATTCAGGAGGTAGAATTTTACTATCTAAATAATAATTTTGCATTTGAAGTCTAAAATCTGACTAGCTACCTGTTTTCATCTGTAGGAAAGAAGATTATTATCATTCTGCTACCACTCTGCACAGTGGAGCATATAAGATTCTCCATAGAGTTACAGAGCAGTCCAAGAAATCTGAGCAAATGCTTTTGAAATAAACAACAGCGAATGCTAACATAATGCCCTGACTGTAGACTTTTTTCTGAGTAAATCTGCTGTGCATTTTAATTATTATTTTTCTTCTTCCCTTCCACCTGTCAAAAGAGAAGTAATTCTTGCTGGTCAGTCCACTGTAAGGATAACACCTCTGGTGTTAAATGAATAATATGTAGTATGTAATATTGTAATCACATTTCATGAACATCAAATACTAAGCTGTTGTTCATACCATCAGATTAAATGAAAGAACAAACATGTTCTCTGGAGAAATAAAATTGGGGAGTTCTGTTTTTTCATGGATGTGTTCTGTATCTTCTATCCTCCAGCTAAAGTAAACTGAGCTTCTCCCATGAAAACTCTTTTGGTTTTTTTGCTCTTGTTCATTGATTCCCATTTCACACGCTGTGTTAGCTATCTGTCTTTCTTTACCTCCAATAGTGCAAAACAGTTTTCTAGGGCTGGCTTGAAGCTCTGCATGTCCCTGTTGGCCTGATAAAAGATCAAACAGGGCAGGAATCTTGCATTCAGGGCTGTAGCTTTTCACTCAGCTGGGTGCCTTATTGCATAGCTTCTGTTGGGAAACTTGGAAAATTTGAGGCTTGCACTCTGCTGTCCTTTTTCCCTGAAATTCCTAAAGATACTTACAATTTTTTTGAGGGATCTGACACAGACCACATAAAAATCCTTTCCTTAGGTAATCAGCCTAAAAATATTGAATTTTCTGGATATGATTATCTGAATTAAAACAAGCATGTCAAAAGTATTTTAACTTCTGATTTGGAAAGAACAGAAGAAATTTGCAGGTTTGATATATATCTGTTTTCATACATAGATATTTTTTAAAGCTACTTTACTAATTTTTCGTTTTTCCCCCCTTCATTTCACTTGCAGACAAGAAAAAATATGATGTAATTGTGATTGATCCACCATGGGAGAACAAGTCTGTTAAAAGGAGTAACAGGTATGTTTTATAGTAAAATGAAACAAACTTTGTCATCGTAGCTTACAAAGGGTAATTAACATTTTAATGTATTGATCCAATCCAGGACCAGTATAACTGTGAGACTGTAGCTCAAACTTGTACATATTTTCAAACATGCTTACCTTCAAATCTATGGACTGTCTTAGGTATTTCACTGAATGTGTTGGATACAAGATTGGCATACAAGATATTTGCAAGAGTAGATCTTAAATTATCTAGCTGGTGAGAGAATGTTAGCCCTTTACAAAGAAAGTATGGATTCAGCTGTTCTGTAGGGCCCAGATCATGCACATGTTAGTTTGTAATTAATAGGGTTACTTCAGTGGACATAAAGCTAGATAAATGTGTAAGTATTTCCAGGACTGAAATCTTGCTCAGAGGTTTGAGTGCATTTTTATTTAATTTGAGGTGTAACTTAAGCTTCAGTCTAATGTTTAGAAGAACATGATAATGCAGCAGTGAAATCCTCTAGTGCAATAGGAACTCTGAGTACTGTAGTTTTTGAAGTTATTAACTTAAATTTTTATGGGCTTCCTTCACTGCTGAGTAACATCATGTTTATGCTAGTGGAGTCCTCTTGATTACCATAGAATTGTATCTCTTTGAAAGAAGGGTAGACAGGAAATATGGTCTTGCAACTTTCTAGAATGAAGTTCGCTGTGGCTTTTGATGCTTATTATGAAGACATAATTTGAAGATGTACAGACTGATGTGTAGGCTTTCCTTTGAAAGCCCTTCAGAAACCTCTGTAAACTCATTCAAATGAGACATTTCTCATTCAGAAATGTCTTTCTTGAGTATATAAGTTACTCAGAGAATAATTGTAGTTACGAGCCTAAGTTAGTCACCAAGATCCTTTCTCCCTTATGGAATAAAGGCAAAGAGTGGAGGAGCTATCACTGCTCATAATTATCTTGTTGGCAGCTAATCATTGTGAAGCATTTCTCATCTAGGTGAATATTTTCTCCTCTGGACAGTCCAGGGGGTATTTGGATTTTATCCTTGTTCACTGTTTCTCACTGTAGCATTGTTTAGGGTCCTGGCTACCCACACAGTGGCTGCCAATTTTCATTAGGCAGTGTGCCAATAATTTTGGTGTTGCAATGTGTAGATTCCACGAGCTGCAGTTTATTGATAGTGTAGAATTGCATAACGAAAAAAAAATGGTAGAACAGGACAGGATCTGGAAAGCATCCTGAATTCACCAGTGTAGCTTTCATTTAGCTCAGAAAAGTGCAGAATGGATTTGAATAGCCTAGAATTCTACCATGGCTGATAATTTAAAAAAATGAACAACTTGTGAAAATAATTGGAGAAGTTATTATCTCTAATGACCTCTTCACTCGCCATTCAAATTAGTGTGACTCACTTGTCATTTTCATTCAGAAGAGAGTTATTATGAGAAGTGAATACTTTTACTTTGCCTAAGAAGCTGCTGTTCACTAAATAGCTTTGTTCTGGCGCAAAGATGAGAATATTGAGTTACATCTGGTAATTCTTAAATGAAACATGGGCTTCTACACTTCAGAGTCACAACTAATAATGCTTTATTTTGAAAGATAGTGGAAATATGTAGTTCAAGGTTCTGCTCAGTAAAACCTATATACATGCACTAATGATTTTATATAAAATCTCTCAGAATTGTCCACTGGGTGTCAGTCTTGAACTATTTTTATGACTTAGATTGGAGACAGGAGACAATTCTTGAAGGAGATAGAGAGATAGACAGGAGATAATTCTTGAAGTGACTGGTCTGTGTAATTTTTAAATCCATTTGTTCTGCTTTACAATTTTTATGGTTGGTATATGCTAATTTGCTTTCTCACTTTACTGGCATAGGTACAGCCACTTGTCTTCATGGCAAATCAAGCAGATTCCTGTGCCAGCACTAGCTGCTCCAAATTGTCTTGTAGTCACGTGGGTGACTAATAGACAGAAGCACTTACGTTTTGTTAAGGATGAACTTTATCCTCACTGGTCAGTGAAAACACTTGCTGAGTGGCACTGGGTAAAAGTAAGTTCTTCATTTATTTTGTTACTTTCTTGGAGACTGAGAAGACTTGCACTATGACACTTTGTGTTCTTCTAATTTGTCTGTTTACGACTATTTGCTTGTGTATTTGAAAGCTGTGATATCAGTATCCTCCTTTTTATAAAGGAAAAGGTCTTGGAAAATTATGGAATATTAACATTTTTTACTGTATATTTTTAACTCTCTTGTGTCAGATTACTACAGCTGGAGAATTTGTGTTGCCTTTGGATTCTTTGCACAAAAAACCCTATGAAGTTCTCATATTGGGGAGAGTTCAAGGAGATGTAAAGGAAGCCTTAAGGTATGTCAGGATATTTATGGTAAATGTCTTTTTTTTGCAGCTACTAGGATTTCCTTTGTATGTATCACTTACTCGTAATGCAGTATAATGTCCCAAAATCTCTTGGCTGAGTGGACCTAAAGATAGCTTTATTAGCTTTGGAGTAAGGGAGTGCCTTAGTGAGACTAAAGAATGGAACCCCCTGACTGTTCCTGCATCTGTGGTCTTGAGAAACAAGATCCAAACTTTTTTGGACAAAAGCCTTGTGGGCAGGGTTTCCTTTGCTGACATGTTCTCTTGGATCACGAGTCCTTTGCACAGGCTGATGCCATTTTGGGGGTGCTGCTGTTGTTCCACACATGACGACGTGCAGGACTGCATTGTTTGTTCTCAGTGGCTTTGCATGGCTATTGTAAACCGTGTTTTGGCCAAAGCCTCAATGATTGCATAAACTGTCATTTTGTATATTATGTCTGGGCAGCATTTAACTTCCCTTGGACTTCCCTGAAGTTTGTGAATGAACACTCTTTGTGTTATCTCCCATCTCAAATAACTCTGCAAGAGCTGTAGCATTACATTGGGTTAACATTCATTCTCATGTTTATTTTATTTTCTGATTTATATGACAGGAAATCTGAAGGTGTTCTTCCAATTCCAGAGCATCAGTTGATTGTCAGCATACCCTGCAGTCTGCATTCACATAAACCTCCTCTTGCTGGTATGTTTTGGTTTTTTCTCCTAATGTTTCTGTAGCACAGTGATCTTGAATTCCTCATTATGGAATGTACCTAGAAATGCCTTAATTTCCCATCAGTCAAACAATTTTACTCAACAGAACTTGAGGTTCCTCTAAAAGTGTTCCAAAGCACCTCAGTCCTGGTCTCAGAAAATTAATGTGAAAACTAGAACTTCAAGTAGTACTGTGAACATTTTGGGTAGACATAGAAAAAATGTTGCCTTTTTCAAAATTTATCTTTTAAATGCTGCAAGACCAGTTTTACAGATACTTCATATATGAAGTTGTGACAAATGACCTAATATACCTTGTGAGGGAGAGAACTTTGGGAATACATAAAATAGGAAAGCAGAAACCTCTTTCTTTATTATGTCATCCTCAAATAAGTGTTTACATATCTGCATGAATTGATTATATGCCTGCAGTATAATTATGCCTATAAATCAAAAAACTTAACTATTTTAAGACTGCTAACAAGAGGCAAAAAATAAGGCATGCCCTGCTTGGTTCTGAGGAGTTGTATTTCACCCACTGAAGTTGTATTTCACTCACTGAAATTGATGCAGTAATTCCAGCCAGCCAGTTAGTGTGGGTATAAATTCAATGTTTTAGAGCTAGTCCAAAGAATTGTTCTGGAGCACTTCTGCTGATTTTGTCAATAGGAAGGGGTATTTCTTTCATCATTACAGCAGCGTAGAACTTTACAAGGCTGTGGTAAGAAATATGTTTAATACCTCTCACAAAATAGATTACATCCTCCACCAAAGGGAAAGCAATGGGTCTGCAAATATTCCAGGTGTTTTGTATTCACATCAGAAAAGGCAGGTAGAAGAAATGTTTAATGCTCTTGGAGAGGAGAGGTGTCACACTTTGCTTCACTGATATGCTTTCCTTTTTCTCTTCCCAAGAGGTAGAACTTCTCTTAATCTGAACAATTGTTGTACCTTCAGGGATGCTCTAACATCTGTGTTTGGGGGCTTGTGTTTATTGAATTACCATATGTGTATATATATATATATATATATATATACATATACACACACCCCCTTGTTAAAAAACTAGTAGGAAGAACATACTTTGGTTAGCTAAAAATAAAAATAAAAAAAAGAAGGGCAGTTCTAGGAGGACCTTTGTGCCATCCTGAAGCCACATCTTCAAGAATTAGGGCTACAGCAGGGGTTATATGTGTTGATTTAAGCTAATGAACAGTGGGGTGGTTATTTATGAGGCTGTCACCTGGGGTCTCTTTAGCAAGCCAATACTTAGCAGCAAACTTGGACACAGACAGGAAACTTGTGAGGTATCCAAGGGTGCAAACCAGCAGTTTGGATGTATTATGGAAAATTTTAGTGCAACAATGGTCCTCGGAACAATTCTTTTGTAGGGCAGAATCTAGAAACCATATTGGAGAATACTTTATAAATTGTAACCCTGAGTGACTTTGAAGGAACTGTCCTTCCTAATTTCTTCTGTGTATTTCATAAGTCTTCACTTGAGTGATGGGATTTGATAACATTGTGCTGCATTTATGTTTGTCTTTGAAAAAATGAACTTGTTGTGGAGCAATATGAATGATTTAAAAGTTTTTGTGAAGATCCACGTATAACGTACAAGGTTTTTTTGCAGTCTGTGCAGAATATGGTTATGTAATGAAAAGGTAGACCATAAAGCAAAAGCTGATTGCTGATGCTTTGACTTCTGTGCTGTACAAGCTGTTGCTTTCATGACCAGGCAATATTCTCAACCAGTCAGTAGAGAGCAGCTGAGCTACATCCTAGAGGGGTTCAGAGGAAATTTGAACAGAAGCAGAGATTTGGTAAGGGGGGAGAAGGACACTTGATGAGTCACACACATTCTTTATGCTTTGTTTAAGTAGTAACAAAGCCAAAAATATTAGTATTTACTGATGCTGTCTGGCACTTTGTTTCTTATTACGACAATAAAGGTTGTATGGTGGTACATATGTAGCCACTTAATGACTGATTATAAGAGTTTATCTCTCTGGGGGAAGAGAAAGATGTAAATTAAAGTAAGCCATCAAAAAGAGATGTTTGTGTTCCTACAGTGCATTTAACCATGAAATTGCAACTGTAGGGGTTTTTGGTGATGCATGTGCTGTGTTCAATGCTTACAGCTCTAATATGTCATTGTAAATGTATTTAAGCTGCTTTATGCAAATGTGTTAAAATCAAATTTTATTACTCCAGGTTTTGATTCACATAACAGCAGGTTTTCTTCCTAATTCAATTCAATGGTGGTCTTTGAGAGCACAAAAGATACTCTGTTACAGATGTGTATGAAGTTCTACATAACTTCACCTTTTTTCCTTTTCCTGTATTATAGATTGTTCTTGTTACAGCCATTGCTCTTCTAGTTTATAAGTATATGCATTTATTGTTAGAAAATAATACTGTTGTGTAGGAATTTGCCTAAAAGCAGTGGAATTAATTCTTGGCTATGTTCTAACCAATTTGCATATATTCAGCAGAACTGTGCAATGAGGAGTCATGGGAGGTCCCTCCTCTGTAGCAATGATGGTTTATTAGGCCGTGTTATACAGGTTTTATTGGAACGAAAAAAAGTAAAAAAAAAGAACTAAAAAAAAAGTAAATGCCTTTTGTTTCCTTATGGGCCTTGTGGAGCACTTGCTGTAAGATTAATTGATTGGTACATCAGCATCTAGGTTTAACTTGAAGTTCAGGAAGGATGTGGTGCAGATCTTTCAGCTGGATTTCAGATAATTTTCTGGTCCAGGGTTTAGACAAATTGGGCAATAAGGACCTCTATGTTGCAAACTCTTTTGAAGGGTTATTTTAAACTGAGATAACTTGTGCTTTGTGCTTTGCATGGCTCACTGATCAGGCAGTGAAAAAGCAGACAGTTATTTTCACTTTATATATCCAATTTGTCAATGCAGAACCTGCATTTTTAGGCAGTGGAAGTTCAGTAAATAAGGAGAAACTGTCGCTTTTTTCAAAGATAATTCTTTAGCTCATTTAAACATTTTCAGGAGCATGCAAGTTCAATATGTGTCTGGGATTAGGAGTATGCAGGTGTATCAAGTCTCCTGCCTGGCCACTGGATTGTGCTTCAGAATGAAGCGGGTTTTCTGGAACTGTTGTGTCTGCCAGCTGGCTTTGTGCTCGCTTCACATGTCCTAGGGCATTAGGTGCTCACCTATAAGTACCTGAGTTGCTGTCATAGTGCTTGTGACACCTGCAAGTGATAAAGAACAGGCTGTTTATCATCTATTTAACTGTTTTCCTGTCAGTGGTATCTGTAAATGGGTAGAAGTAATTGTGTTCTGGGTTTTGTTTTTCAATCTGTTCCTGTGGTAGAAAAACTCAATACTTAATTTTTCTACTGATGGAACTCCTCTAAGCTGTTTTCACATGAAAAAACCCCAAGGGTTTGCTTGAGGGCTGCAGATCAGATCCATGTGTCTTAAGATAGCCTACTGGTAATGTAAAGGTCTAACAAAGAAGACATAATTTGTGGCTTAAACACTGATTTTTTCCAATTTGAAGGAAACCAATGTAATGAGATTTTAAGCCAACAAAATTCAGCTCTTTTGATATGGTAATTTTGTTGCAGTGCAAGTTACTGCCTGATGTGATTATGTAAATGCCTACAACCTAGCAATGAAGAATCATACTATAATGTGATCTCAAATTATATGTAATATGTCTGTTTTTTTTAAAAAGCCCTCTAAGTTTAAAAATATGCTGTCTCTGCCAGAAGGAGAGAGGGAGATTCCTGCGACTTCTTTTTAAATTCTAGAACCAAATTGATAGAAAGACTGGCACATGTTTTGTGCTTCTGTTGAACTGATTGGTTTCTTTGCTACCTCTTTTTTGCTTTCTGTTGAACCAGTCTTTGAGGCTGGTTGAATCTCTGAAATGTGCTTTTCAAATTTGCTCTTTCAGGCATGAAAGTTTTTGGTGCCTATTAAAACTGCTTTGGATTACTGAACCTAATGCTATGATGATTATTTTTAACTTAGGAATTTTAAGATCTATCACCTCTGTGGGCGATCTGTTCAGTGTTTCAACACCCTCATTGTAAACAATTGTTTCCTTATATCTAGTCTGAATTCATCCTATTTTAGTTGAAAATCTTTATCCCCTGTCCTATTCCTGCAGGCCCTGCTAAAATAAGCTTATTGCCTTCTTTCTTATAGGCCCCATTTAAGCATTGAAAAGCAACTATAAGGTTTCCCTAGAGCCTTCTCATCTTCAAGATGAACAACCCCAACTCTGAGCTTGTCCTCCTAGGAGAGGTACTTTGGCCCTCTGATCAAATTGTCAGCAAATTATGCACAAGAAATTCTTATCTTAATGGAGCTGTGAAAAGAACAATAAATTTTACCACTTTTTTTGTTATGATGTGTTTGCAAAATAGTATTAAGCAAGTACTCATAAGTGGTGTCTAATTAGATGAACACCCACGACACCAAACAGTGCATGAGTTTTCTGTCAGAACGTAAATTTTCCTCTAAACTTCCCAGACTCTTCTCTGCAAATGCTAGATTTGTTTAAACATTTTATCTTTTATAAAAGAAACAGGTTTTTGGAATAAGATTCCTTCCAGTAGCAGTATTTTTTAGATTAAAAGCTGCCTTCGTGATAACTCATCTGAGACATTCATGTGACATTTGTTAAAGATTGGGGGAAGGCGAATAGATTTTTTTTTTTTATTTTTATGCCAAAATACAATAAAGCTTGGAAACACCCATTAAAAATATTTACAGAAAAGTTTTTAATATATTGGAGCTTTGGAAGAGATGATCATGTAGGTAGGAAATGCATCTTGGGTTGGCTAACACCTAGAAGGTGAACTGAGTGCTCATCTTTCTGCAACAGGAGCAATCCATGGCCTGATCAGCTGGAGTCTCACATAGGGCATCTGTGACTGGTAAACTTGATGCAAAAAGTCAGTACTTGGATTGCACCAAAAAAAAGAAAAAACATTTTCTTTCATACTTGGGTGTATGTTGACTGGATATGTTTTTGCTTTCTGCTGTGATCATATCTGAAGAGACTGAGCAAGGCAGCAAAATGTTGACCTTATGAGCTGTACTTTTGAGTGACAGAGATTCAGAAATCACGGCAGGTCTGATCTAAAAATGACCAAAGTATCCTTTGGAAAAGGATATGTTTCCATAATTTTTCTTCTTTTATCTTCAGCAGCAAAACAAAAAACTTAATGCAATTTTTAGTATAGATAAGTTTTTCATTTTTTCTGCCTTCTCTGTGTTGAGTGCTCCTTATGTTTTTGTACACAATGTTTTTGTAGCCATTTCATGAAACCTAGTTAAGGGGTTGCTCAAACCAGCCACAGACTAAATGGCTCTATATGACAAGTAACACATTTAACAATAAACTCTTTGCAATAATACTTTTCAAGCAAAATGCAAGATCTTTTTCTATCACTCCAAGAATACCAGTCATGATCAGTGACACAGTTGATGTTAATGACAGGCATCTTTATATTTGGATTTAGGCAGGAAAAATGCCTAACTGTAAGAGAAATTTGAGATATATGTTACTAAATAACAGTAACGGTTATAGAAATATCTCCTCAGCTGCCAGATTGATATTGGGGGAGAAAATAGTTCCTGCATTTTTACATCCATTTTAGTGCTATACTTATTTAACTGGTGTTACTTTTAACAGTTGTCATTACAAAAATGCATTTTTCCCCTTTAAAGTACAGAGGAAAAGAGAGTGTGCTCTTAATTAAGAAAAGGGTTTATGTATGTATGTATGCATTTATTTATTTATATAAATATTGCCTCCATGTTATTTGAGCTAAGTGAGGCTTTAGGAGGTCTTTGGTTGATGTTAGTAAAAAAAAATTCAGAACTCATCTATGCAGAGGCTGAAATAAATCCTCCTTCCCTTTTGCTAAATGAAAACCAATAAATCAAGGCTATTGAAGGCCTTGACAGTATTTTCCAGAATCTCAAGGGCATTTATTTAAGATTACTTTCTCACTATAAATAGTCCAGCTATTTGATGAAACCTCTGAAATTAATTTGCTGTCTCTCCCTTTTTTAATAAAACATTCATTTTTTTCATATGCTAGCATCACAGGGGAGGTTTTACTTTTTTACTGTTGTTATTTGTGCCATTGTCATTGTTGTTTTCTTCTTTTTTTCCTTTTTTCTCTTGCACAGCAGTCCTGACAGAGTTTATCAAGCCAGATATGGAATGCTTGGAGTTGTTTGCTCGCAACCTACAGCCTGGCTGGACCAGCTGGGGAAATGAGGTCTTGAAGTTTCAACACATTGATTATTTCACTCTTCTGCAGAATGAAAACTGAGCAGGGTCTCAGACATCTATACCTTCTGAAATTCCACATGTTCCCAGGGGACTCTTGAACTTAGCTTTATTACTGATGGTGCACCTAAAGGTAATGTAAATAAAACAAATTGCATTTTAGTTAAAATTCTTTAAGTGACAAGATATTTGTTTAATGCTATCTCCCCTCTGTGCAAGGTGGTCCCTTATTTTTATGATCTGAACATATTTAGATACTGATGTTGTTACCAAAAATCAGTAAAGATAAAACTCCTTAACAGCAGTGTAGCATTAAGAAGCAGGCATTCTTTATTTGGCCAGATGCATGAGGGAGTATCTTCTCTGAAATATTGTGTATACTGATTACAGAGAAAGCTTCTGTTTATATGCTGTATATTACATACATATTCATTGACCTTTCTGAATAACGTACAGATAATAATAGATATTATTATCATCATATACAGATGATAATAATTTCCCCAAAATCATTAACATATGTTCCCTCCCCTTTGCACACATGTTCTTCACTAACAGGGGTTTCTTTGGTGGTTCCTGGTGGTCAGCCGCCCCAAAATCAAATTTGACCATCCAGTGAACTGGTAATAAAAGTTGGCATAACTGGGCTGGTTATTGTGCAGTTTTCCTTCTTGGCCAATGTTTAACATGACCCTAGAGAATAAGCCTTTTGTGGTTCTACAGGCTTGTGGTTTTTGAAGAATAAGCATATTAACCCATCAGGTTAACTTGGTGGGTTAAAACAATTTTTTTATCTGCCAACAATGTTAGAGTGTAACTTTCATCCCTGTTCTTTTTCAAACTTCAAGAAAAGAAAGATATTTTAAAGTATTCTCACTGCAGCTGTCAAATCTGAGCTGATAGCACATTGCTGCTTCTGTAATGTGGCTCTTATGCTATTTTTAAAGAATTATAATGTATTGTTTTTCAAGAGTCAATGGAAGTAAACAATTTGGAATGATGCATGTTTTCTTAAAGTTTTTTTTTTGCAAAACAATGGATTTTAAACTAAAATAGTTACGAAGGCAGTGCATCTTCTTGCATATTTGTATGTATCTGTCTGCCTCAGAGAAAATAAAAGAAGCAGTGCTTATATTTACTGGCACATGAATTCTTGACTGACCATGTTCTATGTAAAATTATCCTTTTAAAACAATCAGTAATTCTGTCTTTGTGTATATTAATTTTTGGACTACATTGTAAATGATCAGTCTCAACATCTTAAAAATTCGGAAATTTTAACAGATTATATGTATTTTTTAAAAGATTGTTTCCTTATGTTCTGGAACATTATAAAGCCATGCCAGTGAGCTGTATTTTTCAGCTAACAGAAAAATGATCCCTTAAAAAAAAAATTAAAGAATTGTACACTTTGTATATACTTTGCTGTGCTTAGATTTATTTTGAAAAATACAAAGAAAATGTAATGAGGCCTCTGCCACATACTCATTTATATATTTAGCAGTAGAGTCAGAGGTGCTGGACAAACTGATTTTCCTGGTGGCAGGTTCCTGAGTTCTGACTGTTCATAATGGAGAACAAAATACATTGCCTAACTTCTTTACCTTCATTTCCATTTTGATAGCTTGGTGAGCCGTGAAGATTTTTTAAAAGTTAAACTTCAAATGTTAGCAGAGTATTTTTGATAATTTTGTAATAAAGATAAAAATAAAAACTTGTGTCTTATTTGCAGTTTCTTTATTAGCGTTCAATTCCGTGTTTTGCCTATTGGAGCAGTGGAGTTAATAAACAAAGAAAATGCTTTTTTCTCCCTCCCCCAACAGTTAAACATACACTCAAAATAAGTAAATAATGTAACAGTGGAAGTAGTTACCCACTAAGATGCTTCTTGCTGCATGATTTTATTTTCTCTGCATTTTAAACTGTCAATATATAAGCAATCTTACCTACAGCTACAGCTCTAGGGACAGAAGGTTCTTTATTTGCTTTTAGTTTTAGAAGATATTCCCTACCTGGAGCTTTTGCTTTCCCAGTCCGAATTCCCCTGCCCTCCCAAGATGCTCTCATCCAGTGCTAAATGATGTATGGGATTCAAGCATGGAATAAATGATAACTGCTGCACTTATCTTGTTTTCTCTTTGTACTCTGCAGAACAGCACAAGAAATGACAATGTTGTCTGTTCCACATCCGCTGCTATGAACAACTCCAGATTATCTGTTTAATTCCAACTAAAAGAAAGATGAGCAATCTTAAGAGATCAAGAAACTACCTTTCTCCTTGAGCTAAGCAGCAGAATCCTTCTAAGGGAATACCCTTCTTTAGGCTTGTTAAGAATTGATGACCTTATTAATTTGCCTATTCTGTGGAGTCCCTTTGCAAATAGTGGCTTTCTAGAATCCTAGAATAATTAAGATTGGAAAAGACCTCTAAGATCAAGTCCAGCTGTTAACCTACTATCACTGTGTTCACCACTAAACTGAAGCAGCTGAGCAGCTACTTCCAGCACCTGGGAATCCAGCCTCCTAAGTACGGCTTGTATGTAGAGGACTTGTGCAGGCAGAGTCTAAGCTTCTCAGGCTAAGTCAAACGTTGAAGATTGGAACTTGTGTCATACCTGATCTTTTCCTAAATAGTTACAAAATTGTGCCTTGGACACCTGTTTGCTGCTCTGGCCATGAAGAATATGACAGAAGTGGTGTTCCATATCTGCAGCCAACCTGGAACCATTGCATTTTCTCAGGAGAAGAAAGCCCGTTGCTAACTTGGAAATCTCATGGTGGTATTAGCAGTTGATAGTTTGAATTGATAGGATCATCTAGGGTCATCTTTTGAACATAATTATTTGCCTGTTACGCTGAATTAATAGTTTGAATAGCCCCTTACACTTTTCCAGTTCTCCAAGACCCCAGCTGTTCCTAACCAGCCATCAGATTGTTCAGTGTCTGTCAAAAGATTCTTCTGAGGCAGAATCTGCAGCATACTCAAAGATCAGCGATGAGTGAAACCAGCTAATATAACAAGAAAATTTAAGATCTGGTTTCCTTTTATGTTATATATGTCAATTGCTCAGAGGGAAGAATGCTCTCTTGTTGTGTCAAGCCTTGTATAAAAAAGCAAACTTGCTCTGAAGAGTTTACAAAGTTGGTAAGAAATGAAAGAAAAAGGGAGAAGATAAGGATGGAGGAATACAAGATGGTAATGAGATGTTAAAGGTGTATTTAATAAGTATGAGCCTAGGTATTGTGCACATCTTCAGTGTTCCTAAGGAATTGTAAGGTTGTTTCCCCTCTTTTAAATGGGATTTTCTTCTTTTGTATTCTTGTATCACACATTCAAATAAAAAATAGGTTAAGTGTGTATTTTACTTACATTAACAAAATAAAAGGGTTTTTTAAGCTATAAATTCTTGTGGCAGCTTGGAGAAGTGACAACTGTGATTAGTCAAGAATTTTCAGAAAGCATGTTTGGTACATCTGTTGTTTTAGCAGGACAATGATAAAAGTTTCTTTGGCTAGGTGTTCTCTACTATTTAAAGCCTTTTAAAATTATGTCTTATTGCAAAAAACACTCAGTTACATTACAAAAAGAAGTAATTTTAAGCTTTTTCTATATGAAGAGTACATCAAGTATCATAATCAAACTTTTATGAATCTTCAGGTTTGAGTGTGATTTTGAAATGTCAAATTAGCATATGACCTTTACTTGTATTTTTAAACTTCTGTGAAGTAAAAAGAATTATACCAGTAAGATGTATTTTTGGAATAATGATTGCTAGGCATGTACTCCTGTGGAAACAGCAAAACTTCTTCTGCAAGATTAAACATTATTAAAGAAGTGAGGTACGTGAGGAGGTCGTACCTCTTCATAGCATTCAGCTTGGATATGTGTCAGCAGCAGCAAAGAGTTGACTTTTAAAAATAGATTTCCAAATTACGTAAACAACTATAAATTACAGGAGATAAATACCTTGATAATTGCATTCATTAGCTTCAACATACCAATAAAGACTTGCCTACTGCTTTGTTTGGATTGGACATAAGAGGAAGAGAATGGAAAGTGTCTGGAGAATACCAAGGGGTATGAGGTATTTTCCAGTTGCTGAAAGAAATCTTGGTCCCAGCTGGCAGGTTTTTTCACAGAATCATAGAATAGTTTGATTTGGAAGGATCTTTACAGGTCATCTAGTCCAACTTCCCTGCAATGAGGGACATCTTCATCTGGATCAGGTTGCCAGGAGCCCTGTACCCAGCCCTACCTGACCTTGAATGTTTTCATGGGTCTGCCAGTTTTTAGTGGAGAGAATTGTATATGTGCATATGTGTGTGCAGCCAAGCTGACCTCTTGGAGCAGTGTGAACCAGTGGTATACAGTGCTTTGAATAACAACGATATTTGCATTGCTAGAAATTTAATATCACCATATTTTTATTGTCAGTGTCCTAATGTTACCAGTTTGTGGGGAAAAGGTACTATTTATTTGGTTACAGATGCCCCAATACCATACATGTTTTGAAAGCTTTCCTGGGGACTGTTTAATGGATGTATTTTTGCTTGGTAATCTTCTGGAAGCATCACATTGGCACTGATGAGTGAACAGCACAGCAGCTGCCAAGGTGTTCCCGTGACCCTGGCCACATCTCAGAAGCATGGGAAGCCTGCAGGGGGTTGGGTGTGGTTCCATGGGTTCTTTGGCTGCCTCAATGTGCCTTAACATCACTAAAATGACATCAGAGCTGTTCTAGTGAGTCTTGGTTCCTTTGCTGGGCCTGGCTATGATGATTTTAATTCCTGGCATAAAGGAGTTGAGGTTATCACCTTATCAGGGTTGTTCTTCAAGTAGCCTGAAAATTTTCTAAAGTTGCTTTTTACTTGTGAACATTTTTTATTCAACCTGCTGAACTTTTGGTGTGCTGCAGAGCCTGGGCTTTCAGCTTTGGTTCTGAGTCTGCCACATGGGCTGTTTTGGGATTAGAGAGTCATGGGCCATGCTCTGAGGTCTGAAATTCAAAATGTCTCTGGTCTCCAGACATCCAGGCATTCTTGGAAGTACTCTGGCTGCCAAACTGCAGGCAGAGCTCTGTAGTGGTCCTCCCTTCTGGCTTTTTGGCTTTTTAGCTGCCTGTCTTATGAAAAGAAGGGCTGGAGGCAGAGCTCTGTAGTGGTCCTCCCTTCTGGCTTTTTGGCTTTTTAGCTGTCTTATGAAAAGAAGGGCTGGGAGGCACTGTTGACACTGGGGTCTTGACACTGAAATCACAGTGCCTTCTTAAGAAATGTGTCATCTTCCATATTTTCCCTGTGATGAGAAAATCTGAAATGTCCATTACTTGTTTCAGACCATTTTTATATTTCAGTTAGTAGTTTGCATTTACTTACAACAAAGTAAGTCTGACTTTCCATAAGCTCTGGTTTTTCGGCTTAGTTCTTCCTTCCTCCTTCTCTATTTCTCATGTGGTTTTCTTCAATCTAATATTCATTTACACATTAGTAACTTTATTTTGTTAGATATTTGTTACTGGAGGTGCCTTTGGATTTCTTTTAACTGTTAGGAAGGCTTGTCTGTAAAATTGCATGGTTTGAATTTGTTTGTTGCCTGTTTCCACAAACAGCTGTAGATATCAGAGTGTGGCATGGGATTGGAACCATGAATCCCATATGGCATGGGATTGGAAACATGAACACCACATCTGGTGATTAGGGGGGAATGAGGGGCTACTTAGTGAATGTAAGCCAGAGGATGAAAAGTTGTGGCAATAGCAATATTGGCTGCTGCTGCAAGAACATAAAATGTGCAAGCCACATGAGAGAAAGGTGTGATTTCTCTGTTGTGTTGCCTAATTTGTAAGTAAAAAAGTTAAATAGGACAACAGTACCATAGCAGAACTAGTATCCACAAGGGAATTTTTATTTATTAGTTCTCTGATGCTACTTGTTTGATAACAAAACAACAAAGTAAGGCCTCATTTGATGACCTTTTTGGAAATTATAGCTCTGACAGAATACAGGAGACTTTTCCAGATCAGCTAGGGATATTCATGGTTAAAATACTACTACAAAAAGCTGTGAAAGCAAATATTTGAGTAAGATTTTTCACCCCTGTTCAATATGCAGTGGCATGTCTTCCTTTTTCCCATGTCAGTAAGTAAATAGTCTTAAAATAAAATAGCAGTATTGCTTATTGCACGTTGGAAAGTTGGGCACCCATATTCAGTTTTCCTTTTCTTGTGTAAAACCCAAACAATAACTTCTGCTGAGGGACAAGGAGGTCAGATATTCTCAGTTGTCTGTAATATTGCTTCCATTTGCCTCAGATTGTGGAACCTCCAGTCCCTTAAGCACCTGGGATTAGTGGAATACTCGCTTTGGGCTGTCTTAGATCACTGTTTTCCCTTCTCTGTGCAGTGCTCACAGTTCTCTAAACCATTACTGTGGACAAGCTCATACACACATTTTAGACTTTATTGTGAAGATCTGTAAAGATCCATCTCTTTGCCTTTTTGGAGATGGAGACATTTTTCAACCCAGGAGAGTGGGTCCAGTCCCCTGCCCTGGCCAGCATTTTTAGCAGAGCAGATGTTGCACACTTCTGGTTACAGGCAAACTGCAGAATTGTATAAAAATCTGAATTTCATTTCTGGCCTTTTTTTCAGCACAAATACAAAATATGGCCACACAATGGCTACTGTGTAGAAAATGAAATGCATTCAAGGCAAAACCAGCATAAAGGCAGAGATAAGTCAGAAATTTAAGAATAGTTAATAATGTAATAGGCTAAAAATATCAGCATCATGGGTCATGATTTTACAGGATCATTAACTGAAGTTTATAGCAAAATTTTACCAGTTTATTTAATAGCACTGTCTTGTAACAGCTCTATGCTATTAATTCAGGAGACAGCTTATTGGAAATATTCTTATGGCACTGCTGCTGCCCTCAAATTATTGCATGTGTGTTTTAAACCATTTGCATCTTCCATTATTCTGCACTCCAAAAGTTAGGCTGAGTTCAGAAAGAATGTGTCCTTTTCTGAGGTTATGGTTCATCTATTGGTTCATATAACTTCAAAAAGATAGTTTTGACATGAAAATTACATTTTTCCACATTAAAGTGACCCAGTCAAAACTTCAGTTGAAAATTTTTATGAGGACTGCACCCTAATTTTTTAAAAACACCCAAGAAAGTTCAGATTACAAGGAGCTATTTTTGACCAAGTAAACTGGCCAGCAAAATTATGAGGATTTCTAAATTTCTAATAAAGTCAAGGAAGTGTACAACATAAGAGGAGTCTAAATATTATTACAATTTTCACTGCATGATGCAACTTCCACATATATAGTATTCCTGTGCTCTTCAAGGTTAATTGTGATAAACCTCAAAGTAAAAAATGTCACAGGAATCAGCAATGCTGACATTACCTCTAGCATTATAGGAGGAAACTTTCTGGTATTACAGTGCTGAAAAGCCTCATTTGCAGAGACTGGGAACTGTCTTACACAACAATTTCATTTTGTTGATACAATCATGGCTTTGTATAGCCATTTACATAATGACATTATAGGTCTGTAAGAGAAATAGGATTATATTGTCCCATAACGAAGTTACTGAGGTTTTGGTATAATATGAAGACTGCTTTTACATGTGATTTTCATAAGAACACTCTTTAAAGGAAATTATTTACTCACTATCACACTGCTTTTTTTGACATCTTATGTAGACCTGCAAAACCTAGGCCTTTTCCTAAGTGCCTTTTCCTCAGTGTCCTAAGTGAAGGTGGCCATTTCACTCCAAATCACTGTAGTAACAAACTTCTTTCACATGAGTAGTTTGTCTCTTCTTTTCCTCTGTGTATATATGGAAGGTGAAGCACAACAAAGTTGTGGCTTTTTCACACACATTTCTTTACAGGAGGATTTGCTGAATGTGTGTATACAATGTGTGCAAAAGAGGAAGATCTTGTACAAATTCAGAAAGGAATGGTGGGCAGTGAATAGTGATTGAGCATTGGGATAATTCCTTTGCAAGGGGGATGTGCTTCCTTCTTGCTGATCTTTCCATAGTGGTGAGTACTCTGATTGGAAAGGTTGCATCAATAACAGGAGATTCACTTAGAATGAAGATGTTGCCTCAGAGTTTTAATTCTCAGCCATAAATCTTTGCCAGAAATCTACATAGCTCTCTCAGTTTTCCAGATCTGTTCATTATACAAAACCTCTTTGATGATAGTACTAGCAAAAAAAAGAGAAAATAAATCCAAATGCACTTGCAGAGTTGACTCCCTTTGTAGCCCAAAGATGTGAGATTATATCTGTTATCTTCATAATTTTTTACTGTCTAGCCATTTATGAAATGCTTACCCACTAAAGATGTAATAATTTTAATTTAAAATCTTGGTACTAGATATTTCGTTCGAGACCAGCTGTGACACTTAAGTATTTCCTGCTTTGATGAACCAGATGATGAAATAATCTAATTAGTCTCCTCATGAGAAGCAGTCAGAAGTATGATAGCTTTCCTATTTAAGAATCAATATAATGGCAAGACGGTAAAATCTGGCAGGGCATCTGTAACATGAATGCTTTATTATGAAGAAACGAAGGCTCCATACAGATTTGATTACAGAGGATTACTTATCTTCCTTTGCAATAGCCAAGGATTAGCAAGCAGTCCTTATCCTTCTGCATACTCTGCATGTCTGAGTGTTTGTGAGAGAAGGGAGCATGTGAATAAGATTTAGGGTTACAACTATTTAGTTTTCTTTCTCTGAATGCGTGATGATTTCATATTTGCAAGACCTTTATTCTTTCTTCCATTTCTTCATAGCAGCAGCACAAGTGATGGTCCTCAACTGGAATGAACTTGTGAATTTTTTTGGAAGCTGATGAAATGGTGCTAGATTACATAAACAAAGCCTTTGCCTGACAGCTTCTGGTGTCCACTTTTCTCATCACTGATCATCCCTTCTGTGAATTTCTCAGCTTATTCAGACTAGAAAACAGCAGATAACTCCCTATAAGGCAGGCGTAGTATTTTCTAAACCATCTGTGACTATTTTTTTACTCATGTTTTCCATGTAATCCCAACATTTTTACTCACTGCATCAGACATAGCTCCTTCCATGTCTTACAAGGGTATCAAACCAAGCTATAATTGCCAGCTATATGTGATTTTAATTAATGCCTTGCCTTGAAGGAACTGAGCTGCTGGTAGCAGCTGAGGGTGTATGAGTTCCCCCTCCTGTGAACATTGCAGCCTCATGTTATAATCCACATCCATAACCCACCTCCTTTAGAAATGAACTGCAGCTGCTCCTGATATCTAACATTTTAAACTTCTTTTGTATCTTTTATTGACCCTTAGAAACATCATGGACCACAATTTTAGAAATATTAGTTATAAGTAGTTAACAATTCGTGCTTCTAGGTCACATGGTGTGTTGGAGTTGGGTAACACTGTCACCTGCAGACATTCCCCTTTTTCTTCTTGTTCTAGTAGAGCCCGCTCATGTTGAGATATAAATCTCTTTAGATTGAAAAAGGCAAATAATTCAGGAGGCTTTCCAAAAGCAGCCAGAGCATTTATCTATTTCAGTTACAAGTATTCCATCTCTATGTCGCAGAGCGCTATGTCTGGGGAGAGCTTAATATCAGATACAGTTTTCCCACTGGATGGGGATCTTTAATGTATCACTTGTGAGTAGTAACTCTCTTTGCTGACATTTACAGTTGCTGTTGATATTTCTTACCTCTTAATGTTTCCAGACACTGAGCCTTCCAGGAGGGCCTAAGCCGACTCAGGCTGGGGCGCATTTGCCTCCTGTGGGAAGCTGTTTTTCAGTTTTGAATATCTCAGCTATTCATAAAAAGGCAATGTGACTTTGCTAGCCCTCCAGAGTACATCTGTC